ACCTTGATTAATATAGAGGGTCATTAAGCAGAAATGAACAAACTGGCTGAAGAAAGCCGGTGCTAGAATCGAATCCTGCCAGAAATACAGACACTGAATAAACTGCAGGAAATGATTAATCAATATGCTTGAAACAGACCACCTTCATAACCTCTTAATGAGAGACAAGCAGCCAAAATTAAGATTTACACAGTCAGAGTTTAAAATTCTCCACAATATAAACTATTTCCTTCTGTTTGATGAAGGACTATAACACTCTCATAACGTCGTTGCGATTGGCTCTTCCCACTGTCGGCGCGCAAAGCCTCCTCTGGGAACCGTGCGCGTTCTAATTATAAATCTACTCGGGAAAGGGTTGACTCCAAGGGCTTCTATGAGAGATATAGGCTCCGGATCATGGGCCCCTGAGCTAACGATTTTTATGTTGCATGTCATTTCCGCCTCTCCCTTTTGAACAATTTTTATTGCGACATTCTCCATCGTTGTATATGATATTGTAATTCCTGTCGTAAATTCAATAACATCTATAAACTTGAAGAAGGCTGGTATGGTAGCCGTAATATTGTTCTGAACGAGCACTGAATGCACGTTGTTATCAGCTTCGCAGTAGTCTTTGGACTTCTCGGTTTTTTGTTTTTAATATTGATTTTAGCTGATTAGATCTCTTTGCCGAGAGATCCAACTTTGACAACAAGCAGGATCTTCATCAACGGTTTTTGCAGTTAATTTAAATATGCTCACGTCGTTTCTGTCTGTTAAATAGTTACATGTAGGAGAAACTACACGGCGCCAGAAGCCGATAACCCGGATCGACTTCCATGTATTTTTGCCACGACGTTTTCGCCGACGAGTCTATTTTGGAACGATTTAGGAGCAAATTCAGTCAAAAATCTTTCAAGTCCCACAGACCAGTCTACAAAACCTACAGACCTAAAAATGGTATTTTTGACCTTTTAATGATGTTTAGTGTCCTTTAAAATATCCTATACAGCGCCCATAGACAAAGCTGAACAAAATAATCGTAAATGTATCTAACAGTGACCAGGTCCGTAAAAACGCCGTGACATAGGCTAAGCCTTAGTATGGGAGTTGATCACTCCAGGTTATGGGCTCCTGTCCATGAACCTTGTAGCCACCAATTAAGCAGCCACGCTCTATTAAATGGCTAGTAATCGAAGTCCCGAAATAGTTATAGAAAAGAATTGCAAATGAAACCTGGGCATCAAGTGCTCGAAAAATGTGATGCTTTAAAATAATTTCCAAGCCACTTAGTAGATGACGACTGCTTGTGGACCAGTAATGCCGCTCCCGTCGCGTGTTTGTTTCAAAATACAGCCTTTTTGCATGCTCCGCGTATAATGTTGTCTCCCTCCGCTCTAAAGACAATGGACTACTCCAGAAAACGTAGTTCGCTGTATCACAGAAGCGACTACTGTGACTGAAAACTGACATGTTTATATTGAAGTTGTGGAAGCCATGAGAAACTGCCTAATTGTGATCCTCTTTCGTCTTGCCACTCCCGTTCCTTCCTGACCTTAGCTATCTTGACACTGCCAATTCAGCTGATTTTCACCGACTTCTGGCTCCTGAAGAATCTCTCAACAGGAAGAACTAGTTCCCATGTTTTCAAAACACACAGACATTAAAACACCCTACAAACTTGGAAAAACACAACGGTTAATGGCGGAGCACCTCGCGCGTGCGAGCGGAGCACTAAGAAAATTTGGTAAACTATCCATCCGAGAAATTTTGGTGGTGACGTCAGCGTACGCCCATCCGTACATTCCTTGAGGGGGAGGGAAGGTAATCAGGTGTCAGCCCGTCAGATGGATGAGTATGTTATATTTTCTTGGCGGGAAATCGCGCAAGATGATGGCGTGGCCATTTTTGTTGCGTACAAAAACATGTTAACCGTTAATTTCAAGAAACCATAAGGATTTTGTGACCGTTGTGCTCAGCTTCTAGTGAGCTGTTCCTAAAAACTGTTACAGCAACAAACAATAGCGGAATTCAACCTATTTGCTTATAAGTGAAAAGCAAAGATGATGAGAAAGGAGAGAAAGGCAGGGAGCAACAATTAACAGGCGAAGAGCTAGCGAAGAGGATTCATGTAGAAAATTTAGGCAGCATCTGAGACTTTTTTTCTGATAGCTGATGCTGACAAAGTTTTGTGTCATTGGTGTCATCTTTTGATGCTTTTAACTGTCTTTCAGTTGCACTGCATCTACAAAATAAGATACAGCTGCTATCAACATTCTTTTGTTATTCTTGGCTGACTTGTTTATTGGGTTGTGGTTGAGAAATGCACCGTTCGACAAAAAGAAATCGGAAATCATCGTTTTCAAAAATAAGCTACTCTTAGTAAGCTTCATCGCCTTAAAGGATACCTTACGTGATGGGTTTTCGTTGAATTGGTTCGTTATAAACCCGTGAAAGGGTGATGATGAAGTTTTGAATATATGAAAATGTGAACTGCGGAGTGAAGAATTAAACGAAGGATGATCATCGCAGTTATAACTTTTATACGCAACTTTTATACGCAGTTGCGAAAAGAAAGCCCGAACAAAAAGTTGCGTGTATAACTGCAATGATCATCCTTCATTTAATTCTTCACCCCGCAGTTCACATATATGATTTTCATATATTCAAAACTTCATTATCATCCTTTCACGGGTTTACAACGAACCAATTCCACGACCTGCTCCCAGTTTGCTTGTTACTGAATTGGTAGTAAGAGCGCTGCACCGGATCGCAGAGGTCATGGGTTCGAATCCCGTACAAGCCTGAATTTTTTTTCAGGCTTTCTTTTCGCAAGTGCAAAAGTTGTGTATGTAACTGCGATGATCATCCTTCATTTAATTAGTTTAATTAGTTATCCTATTGGATGGTGGTGTAGGTGAGCAAAAAGGTCATTTTGATTGGAAAGAATTTGTTTTCCACGTCTAATCTACCGTGGCCAAAGGTGATTTCTAATTATTAGGTGTAAAAATAACTGTAAGACTATTAACTCGATGTAAGATTTTAGATGTTGTTCCATTCTTGCACTGTTTCGCCCAGCATCCCCACACTTAAACGTCATATTGATCTCCCCTGTTAACCAATTTGTGGATTACAAGTTTATTCTTTGATTCAAAATTATAAATTTATTAATTGGAGCTACGCTTTTAGCCCTGGCTAAATCTATATACTATTAATTCATAAATGTAGTCAATATTTACTTTAACTCTTGGAAAAAATTTCCAGTTAATAACCGTCAACCTTCAAAATTGGAAAAAGTTAACCGTCAAAGGTACCACCCCATTGAGACCCTCCAAGCCAATAGGCCTTTTGCAGTAGTCAGTCACATGATCAACTCTCTATATTACTTTTTCCTGAAGACGCAAAGGCAAAGGTGTCGCGCTACTCTCTTGCTTGACCTCAGTAAACGTTGATAATTTGCTTTCAGAGACCTGCCTTAGCGTCAGTTTTTTCATGGGTAACGGCAAGGTTTTTTGCCATTAAAAATTTACAGCCTCGGAGTTAAAAGCAAAAGATAGGTTCCTATACCCACTTGTGATGTGCTGCTGTTAGTTATTTGAACTCGAATCAATTAATTCATGTTTTAAAGGACGTAAATTAAAAGGTCTTAAAAGTGAAGCACTTCTTGACGAAAAACAATGTGGCGGTACAAAACAAAAATTCAAAAACCCTAACAACGCGATTGAAACTGCAAACACCTAACCACAAACTGCAGTTTGCGGTTTGCGGCTTCCTATGAAAAAGCGAATATAAGCACAGGGTGACCCACAATCTGTGTGTGTAAGCGATTGTTATTTTATTGTAAATGTATTGGATTTACTTTTTGCTGCACCCATAGCGATAAATCGCTAAGTATGTATATAAATCAGTGTTAAAAATTGTTGAATTAGCTTACCTGTGGTATATTGTCGCCCTTTTGCCTCAAAAGCGGTTTTTTGAGCGATTTTTGATTTTGAGTTCGCTGTTTACTGTTCCTAATAATAGAAGGAATATTAGAACGGTAAAAGGCGAACTCAAAATCCTGCAAAATAGCTAAAAAAAAACGCTTTTGAGGCAAAAGGACCACAATATACCACCACTAAGGTAATTCAAAGTTTATTTAACATTGATTTATATACACACTTAGCTTGGCGATATATCGCTATGGGTGAGGCAAACGGTAAATCCAATACGTTTACTATAAAATAACATCAGTTAAGACACATAGATTGTGTGGGATCCCTGTGCTTTAAAGGTCTTTACTATCCCATCATTGATGCTAGCCTGAAGCCAATCAGAGACAGAGAAATATTTTCATTTAAAAGTTATTTAATATAAGTACTTGAACTTAGCAGTTCGGTGACATTTTTGCAGTGTATGATTAGGTCTGTGGTCAGATGTAGTAAATTTTCCGGGCGCTTATTAAAATTAAGGCTATAAGGCCCTAATACTACGTTTTCCATTCAGCGAAGTGCAACTTTTAATATTATAGTTTTAATATTATAGTCTTTCACTTGTTAAATTATTATTAATAGTAGTTAGTAATCATGCGTGACTAATGTATTGAACCATCCTCGTCAATGGTTTGCAGTTCTTCGCATTCCTTGTGTATGAAAGTTAAGGGTTAAGGGGGCGCCTATTCGAGAATGGCGTTTGTTTGATACTAAGGCCTTGAAGGGCGCTTCTAAGAACGTGGGCGCTTCTTCGAGGAAATACGGTATCTTTTTCACTACATTATATGTTAACTTCTTAATTTTTCGTTAAGACATGCTCACCTGACGAAAGGCATATCCAAATTTATGCTCCTGATGTGTGTTCTTATTATGTGGGTATATTGTGCTTTTTTTTCTTCAGTGGTAAGTGAAGCATTGTAATCTTTTGACCTTTTTTGAGCCCCGTGTTTACAATACCAGTTATATTGGCCTGTGTTTCAAAGTTAAAAGACAAAGGACGAATTGTATGTTTCATTATCTGACACGTTTTCTGTACCACCAAAGATAACCATGGAGAACTCTACAGTAGAAATATCTGACTTCTATCTACGAATAATAGATGACTCTGTTTACTGGACGAGTTTAGCAGTTGTTGGATTTATTCTATCAGCCGTTATTACTGTCGCAAATTTCATCGTCTTAACTACGATCTACCGAGACCCGAAAAAGACACTTCGTACTTTGCCATGTTTGTTGATCGCAAATCTAAGCTTTTCTGATTTTCTGGTGGGTCTGTTTGTTGTATTACCGGTGGCAACCAGGGACGTGTATAGATCTCTGCACCTCGAAATTCCTGTACCCCGTGAGATGCTAATTGCTGGGTATTGTCTCCTTGGATCGACTCTGTTTAACAGTAGTGCTACCATAGTAGCAATGTCAGTAACTTGCTACTTTGCCATAAGCAGCCCCATCAAGTACAAGATCAAGATCACGAAAAAAAAGATATACCTTCTCATTGCTGCCATATGGGTTGTATCGATCACAATAAGCTTTCTACCAGCAATAGACATCACTGAAATGACCTATTTTCTGGTTTATATTCACACTCACATCTCGCTGCCAGCTTTGCTACTCGTAGTCATCTATTTCAAAGGGTACCGTGCCCTATTACGGCGGACCAGAGAACTCCAAGCGAATAGACAAGCTTCAACGCGTGCTTTGGAACGGGAACGAAATATGGCGGTCACAATAACGATTATCTTAGCTCTCTTCCTTCTAACCTACATCCCGGAGTTTATTACGATTCACCTGGCCTTCTTCTGCGATTCTTGTGAGATCAAAGAGGATTCAATTACGTTTCATAAAATTGACGTGGTTTTATCGCGATTCGTGTTTCTGAATTCGGCATTAAACCCATTTATTTATGCGTGGAGAATGCCTACATATCGTCTCGCCTTGAAAGCCTGTTGCAAACTTGTCAAGAACAACAGAGTAAACTCGGCGGCCGGTCTTTGCTATCAATGCGGGCAGCAAGCACCGGTTATAACAGTTGCAACTGTTAACGCAGCTGCAAATCAAAGCTAAAGCAGGCCTGACGTTATTTTGAAACACTTCATGCCTTCTCCCTAGGAGCCGAATAGGAAGTGAAGCACAAGTCTTTTGACTAATCAGAGCTTGCCAAAGTCGGCCACGGGCCTGGTATGAGGACTCCGTATGAAGAAATAGTGATAAAAAGTGACCATCATCATCCCCCTCCATTTCCTCAAACTGACTACGTAGCTTCACTTTGTTAGTTATGTCCCTCGTTCAACCATTAAGTGACAATCAACATCCATCCCTTTTTGTGTACAAGTTGACCAACATCATTTTGTAACATTTTCTGTTAGAAATACTGTAGCCATTTATTATATTATGAGTCAAGAGTGCCAAAGAGTTATACAGTATAAATGGTCGAAAATAGACCGCTTGTTAAATATAGCTCATTTATTAAACGCGGTCATCCAGGCCGGACAAGCGTAATTTCGAAAGCTCGAGTAGTTAAGAGTAACAATTATTCTATGACGTTATTTCCTGCCGACGGTTGTTTTTGCAAAACATCAGCTAAAACGGAGCAGTTGTGAGGTAGTATCTTGAAATTCAGCGAAACCAACATGACCGATAAGCATTCCCAGAAGTGAAGAAAAATGCCTGGGGTGACGAAAGCAAAGAAACGCTTTTGCTTTCTTCCACCTGAAAAGATCTTAAAGAGTCCTTTATTTACAGCTCTCACTTCTCGCGAATAAGCCACCTTTGATGTCTATTGACCATGACCGTTAGGGTTAGTTTTGATTCAGTGATTAAAATCGAACGGCTTTACTCTTAATTTATGGGACTCAACACGGTATCATTATTCGTGATTATTATACGTGCAGCCATTTCTAACCAAAAACGTAAACAAGAGCGGATATGACTAGCTTACCCAGTGCTAAAATAGCCTAGTTTTTTTATTTTATTTTTACTTTCATCATTATTTATATTGACCAAGTGTTAACGAAATGGTGTGCTTTGTCTCTTTAATTAGATGCCACGGTAGATATAAGCAAAAATTCGGGAGTTGTCAAAGTTACCCTGCAGGCAATTAATGGATTTTCACACTCTACCGGAGAGCTTATCAGGGGCACCCAACGACAATTTTCGGAAAATATCTGTTCGGAAGACAATTTGAGATCTAGAATTTTCGGAACATTTGTTGTAAAATTTCTTGCTTGCCTGCCTCTCCTAGGATTTTCGAACATCTAAAACATGGTATAATTGCCCATTTTTAACCGATTTTTACCCTAGAAAGGTCACTTCCCTATAATTTTCGGATCATTAGACTTTCAGCTAGGAAATCCGAACAGATGAAAAATTTTTAGGGGATGAAAATATGCCTATATCTACCGTTTAAATACTAAAATACGTTCAACAATGCTATGTTTAAGTAGTTTTGAACTATATTCTCGTTGGGTGCCCCTGAGCTTATGTTTTCGCAGGCTACTTTTGTGCCGGCACGAAAATCATACTGGATAGGGCTTCTGTTCACACATAAAAGAGATGATTTCGGCGCGATTTCTGTGACAGATCGAAGCTGGGCCGCGCCGATCTCGAAAGTGGGACGTCACGTATCGGATAGGTTCTGTGCCACACTTTAGTGCAATGTAAACACCTGTTCGGACCGTCGCAAAAGGGAATAAACTGTGAGCCTGGAAACCAGTGAAACGAAAGTAAATATTCAGGAGTAAGAAACGGAATTTAATGAACCAAACCATCTCGGCCAACCGCTCCGGCACGATTTTCAATGTGTGTGAAGACCACTTGCTCCAGTCCCCGGCCGTTGCTGTTCATGCCATACCAGATAGCGGATATTTCATTGTTTAGGCGCTTTCGTGTGGACGTGCGAAAATTATTCAAATACGCCACGTGTGGAAGCGTATTTTTCGAAAGCGGAGAAAAAATGTCCGTTTTCAAAAATATCCGAATACGTGTGGATAAGGCCCCGTTCACAAGTATCCGTTTTTGTTCGAAAAGGAGGCTTTTTATCTCTGGTTTCACCTACCATCCGCACGTATCCGGTGAAAACAGTCACCGAAAACTAATTTTCTAAAAAACGCTCTCCAGAGTGAAGATTTTTGAAAACGCTAGCTTCTCGTTTACATTGACGGACGAAAACGGAAGTCGATGATGTCATACATGATTTACTATGAGCATTACGCATGCTCTTTGAGGGATGCTATCGTATTTCCATTGGGCGAAAACAATTCGAATACGCTACGTGTAGACGCGTATATTTTTGGAAACGGAGGTAAAAAAAATCTCCGTCTTCAAAAATATCCGGATACGTGTGGTCGTGTGGAAGGGGCCTTAGATTAGCAAAACATGACTTGGCACGTGCATCACGCGTTTTGGTACACTGCAAGACTACGACGAGCAATTGCCTCATTTCGCTTTCCACAAAAGAGTACAATTTCCCTAGCTTTATTTATTTAACTTGGACCTCTTTCATAGAAATTCTACTGCAGGAGGGTTAACCTACATTTTTTTACAAAGTTCCTCGGGATTGCCACCTTGAAGTTTCAAAGAACGCAAAGTCACTTTTTAAGTGATGTTTTGACAACCATACGCCTTCTGTCGTAAGCTGTTTAATCAGATGTTGTACAGTGCGTTTTCTGTTTGTCAGAACTTGTCTCCAGGGCTTGGTGATTCAGCTGCATTTTGTTTGTTGCAGTTTGATCAATGATGCCTGTAATAACGCCTCTTGCACGAAACCCGGTGTTTATCAAACAATGGTTTTCATTCATGGTACTTGACAACTTTTAACATTGCCTTTCTACCTAACTCTTATGATTAAAGCAAAAATAATTGCCTGAACCACCTTTTTTGTGTAGTAACCTTAACTCCAAAAGAGGACGACTCAAGAGAGTTATCTGAAGAGCCCATGATGCATTTTTTGAGATCTATTTTAGGATCTCGCTTATGCGGTTAGGGCTATTTTTTAAGTTCGTGGTTTCTAAGACCAGATCATAAGCCTTCATCAACACCACCAAATATTTTTATATCACTTAGGTGTACGTTTCTGGGACAAATTCAAGGCTTGATATACAAACTACAGAATACCATAATAAATGTATTCTCTCTCTTATTATGATCTAGTAAAATGTTATGTTTAAAATGTGGTCGCAAGGAGCAATTTCTCCTGCTTCATGCGCGCGTGGTTTTAAAAGAATAATAAGGTTTTATAACTAGGAGCGACCGAAGAAATTCACATACGCCATAAAATAATCTTACCTCGCGAAAAGAGGTTTATATAAATATTTGTCATTCGTATCTCGCGTGGATCTGTTAAGGCGAGTTCAAATAAGCCTCAACTGCTGGCGTTTCCTTAGCGCGCTCGAATTTTTTTGTTCAGGTAACTGCCACTTTGAATTCTAAAAAAGTCGATTATTCCCCAATCAAAGATAGCAGCCGCGGCACTTCTAACATAAACAAGTTACTCCCCCTCCCCCTCCCCCGCCCCAAGGAAGACGCTTGCATTGCAGGCTAAGTTGAATTTTCGTTTTCCCCATGTACGACTTTTAGGTATCTCTGCACATATATAACGGGTTAGTGACAGCAGTTGCCTAGCAACAAAAGGGACAAAACTACTTGAGCGGTTGTTTTGGCGGTCGTTTTAGCCATCAAAATATACTCTTGGCGATTTATCTTGAGGGCAGAAGTATTTAACAGAGAAATATTGAAGCGAACTGGACAATTAGCTTCAAAATAAGAGCGAAAACCGAGATAAAAGAGCATTCGTATTGCGACGTCTCATTTCGCAGATGAGTTTGCCTATTTTGGCTGATCTGAATGGGTCAGATATAGAAGTACTCTTCAGTTTGGCTTTTTACCGTCAAAACCTTGCTTATTTCACCCCCGGTCCGCAAACCCACAATTAGTTTTGCACTTTCTCCGGCAGTAGAATAAAGACTGGTTTCAGTCATATCTCTTGTTTCATCTATGTTCCTGGGGCTTTCAACCCGAGTCAAGTTTGCAAGCAAAGTTGCTATTTGCCTTTCATTCGCGGCCTCAAATAATGCTTAATGTCGTTTACTATACACGTATTTAAGAAAAAATTAGGACAACAAGAAAAAAAGGAAAAGAAAGAGAGAAAGTATAATTTTTACTTCAGGATAATCGAGGCTGGTTACCCATCCAGTAACTAACCCGGCCCAGCAGGTACAAATACGCGCTTAAAATCGTGATAAGCTATGGGAAAGTAAGAAAGGAGAGAGATTGTTGAGGTGGAGATTAATAGTAGCATAACAGAAAGTAATAGCTGGTTGTCGCTGAGAAAATCCTGTTGCGTTACTCAAAAAAATATTTTCGTCCACTTTTGATTTGGTAATCAGAGTTTAATCTAGGAAATCACCTATTTCGTTTTTCAAAAATGATCCTCTTAAGAAGTGAAAGAATTCATTATTTTGATCTTTTTTTTTTCATCGCTTCAAAAGGTTTATAAAATTGGGGCTCTTCAACTTTTATTCCTAAATTCGTAAGTTAATCTGAAAACCCCTCGGCTACTTACTTAACTTGACCCAATATCCAGCTTCACAGTTGACTTATTTGCATTGAAGCGTCCAGTCATGAAACTAAAGCCACTGTTACGCTAGGTCATGAATCAATAGCGCGGATCAAACTGATACACTTGAGTACGTTATAGTCAATAAAATAAGAAGTCCGAGCAATAAAACACTTATTACCTCATAATACCGGCATCTACGGGTAACAACATTGTACCTGACCAATCATAGCATGTTATTCATCAAGGCGTGACCATTTGTTTTAGTTACCTCATCTCCCGGGAATACTCCTGCATTCCTTTCCGAGGAAGTAATCTCGTTCTGGAGAAATTTGTGGGCTGATAAACTCGAACGCCGCTCGAAAAGTTTATTCCTTTTCTCGTGGCAAGCGTAATGAAAATCCCTAGTTTAGTGCTGGACCTACCGAAGTTCTACGTATCTACATTGGGACAACACTGATTTCATTCTTGGGCACTTGGAGAGGAAAGGTTAACGTTTTCTTGATTATTT